CCCCCCCCCCCAACGCTGGACCATTGCACCAACCCCCCACTAGCGATGACGTACCATTACAGTGTATCGCTGGTTGGTGGCCATGTTTGCGTGTTTGCTTGTCGTTAGTGGTCTCTCCACCGTGTGTCTTTTTCTGCCTCTTATTTTATTGTTATTTTCGGCCTGGTCCCTTTTTGTCCTCGCTCTTTTTATTTCATTTTCTGTTTCCTTTCTGTTTCCTTTTATTTTCTTCACTTTTTTTGTACCAGATGGCCTTGTCTCTGCTTGCGGTTTGAAGTACCAAGATTGAACCAATGGGGTGTACCTCACTCTCTCCGGCCCGTGATGGTGACTCCTCTGGTCTCAGTTGTTATACCTCCCATAGCGCGCAGAGGGAGTGGAGGACTCCAGAATATCTGTCGTTGATTTATATTGACTTGCGGACCCCTCGGGGCCATTTTATTTGAGTGTACCTTTTTAGGGTAAGTTAGCCTACGACCGCGGGAATCGACCGCGTCGAGTGTTGTATCAGTACGGACATACGAAGGTACTGGGTAGAGAGCCAACGGAACGGTTATTAATGTGAAGACAACAACAACGACGACAACAACAACAACAACAACAACAACAACACACGAACTAGCGCTATCAACTAGGCCAGGAGCGGAAGCGAAAGAAAAACTCGCTTACGCCGAGATTCGAACCTCTGACCGAATCTCTAGGAGCTTTCGAGGAAACCAACTATTATATATAATAAATAGTCCAGCCCACCAAGGCGACCTTGCTAATGGCAAAAAGCATGTCGCCCAACAGCGAACGTCGTCGTCTGCAGGACTCGAACCTGCGCGTGATATCACAATAGGTTTCTAATCTATCCCCTTAACCACTCGGGCAAGACGACGCGCTGGACAATGCCAGAGAAATAACACCTTATACCAAGCCGATGGAATCGAGATCACGGCAAAAGCGTCCGTCAAATGTCTTGCATCATGTGCGAGGCTGGCCTGGGTTGGCTCCGGCAACACAGGAAAGGACCCCTGCTTGTGTAGGTCCTACCGGAGCGCAAGGGATTGTTTTCGTGCGAATCACCCCCCCCTCAACACACAACGATCAAACTTTACCTAGACTAGATTCCCTGTGGATATGACCTAAGCGTGTAAGCTCTCCGCAACATCTGTTGAGGACCACTCCCTCTTTTTACGTTGGTGTAGACGAACATGGTCACGATGGGAGGTAAGCCGCGGGTTCGATTCCATCACCTCGGTTTTTCTTTCTGTAAAAAAGAATCTTGCACTAAAAGGAAGACCCTATGACGACGATGGCGATGCATCGCTCGTGGACCAAAAATCAGATTTCGATCTTGTGAAGGTTCTATGTGGCGGAGGTGGTTGACCCGCGTACAAAAACAAAAGAAACAAGTTTGTGAAGATGAAAACGGGGACTTACTTCCAGCCGTTCGAGTTTCGGTTTCTACACTGCTTATTACCAG